TGCACTGCAATCCCAGAGGTGTGCGGTTCGAATCCACCAGAAGCTCTGCTGGAGAAGGAGGAACAATCTCCTCCTGTACCAGTCAGATCCGATTTGATGGTACACACACAAAATTAAAATTAAAATAAAACAAAATAAATTTTTTTTTAAAAGTTAAACGGCCACCTTGACTCAAAGCAGCGGATTCCCGAAAGCTGCTCACCCACCAGTGTGCGAGATCATATCATAACAACGTGTTGTGTTGGATCCCATGCAGGTTGAAGATCTGTCACCTCACCGCTGTGGGCTGTGAAGACCTGGCCTCTGCCCTCAGCAGGAACCAGAGCCTGAGAGAGCTGGACCTCAGTTTGAACGACTTGGGGGATCCTGGGGTGCTGCTGCTGTGTAAGGGTCTCAGCCACCCCACCTGCAAACTTCAGACCCTCCGGTGAGTTCCTCTCTTGCCACCACAACGGTGAGTCCAGATCCTTCAGGCCTCCGCATCTCTGGGGTCCTATCTCCTGGACTCTTTTCAAAGGATCCTGCCGCAGGACCTTTGCACGGCAGATTTTCCTTACTGAAGGGCTCACTAGCTGTGCTTGACTCCTTGTCTGAGGTGAAAAATATATCACACACACCAAAAAAACCCCATTCTCATTTACTTTGGGTGATGTCACAACACACTTGACAAGAGAGAGTCATCAAGAAAGAGGAAGAACTTCCATAAGACATAGTTTGGAGGGAGCTTTGCTGGCTTAGTGGCAAGAAGCTGCACTGCAATCCCAGAGGTGCGCGGTTCAAATCTACCAGATGCTCTGCTGCAGAAGGAGAGGGCAATCTCCTCCTGTACCTGTCAGATCTGAGTTGACGGTACACGCACAGAAAATAATAAAATAAAATAAGTTTTTTAAAAAAAGACACAATTTGAGAAAGTGGCTACCACTCTGAGATGCATCAACTGGGAATCAAACCTGGGTCTTCCTGTTGCAGCAGGGACTGTAGATCTTGGCAAAAGACGGTGATTAGGAGAGGGACCGCACTCCATACCCAAAAGACTGTGGAATTGGTCTGAATCATCTTTCTTTTTCCTCTTCCTCCTCTCAGCACCCCATAAACACTCCTGAAAGATGTCTGACCATGGAAAGCATCTTATTCTCGTTTTGTTTTTTGGGGGGGTCCCTTCTTTCCAGGTTGGGCATTTGCCGGCTGGGCTCTGCAGCCTGTGAAGGCCTCTCCACCCTGCTCCAGACCAACCACCACCTCCGGGAGCTGGACCTGAGCTTCAATGACTTGGGGGACCCGGGCATGGGGCTGCTGTGCGAGGGTCTGCGACACCCCACCTGCCGGCTCCAGAAACTCTGGTGAGCAGACGGGGAGCCGGGCCGGGACAGGGTGGCTGCTGGGGTGACATGTCTCCTCGTCCTTCTGTTCCACTTCAGGGCTGCCCTTCCATCCCTGGGAGCCCTGGGGGCACAGAATAGGGCTGCTAACAGGTCAGAGGTTTGAGCACACTTGCTGCTCGGCAGAAAGCCGTAGGAATTATCCCCCCATAAACCTTATTATTTTTTAGTTGGGACTGACTCATCGTCGACCCTCCAGCTGGTTTTCAGAGGGAGTTAATCGTCCAGGAGGAGACCGCCCATCTTTCTCCTTGGAGCAGATGGTGGATTTGAACTATACACCTTTGGGTTGGCAGCACAATTCCTTGGGGAGCACCAGGGCTCCCCTCCATAAAGACTTACAGTGCTGAAAACCCGCTGGTGGCTCAGGGTATGTCGGAGCCCGCTCAGTGGCAGTGGATGGAGGCTGGGTTTTCTCTTTTGTTAGAAGGTCGCTGAGATGGGAGATTGACGAAGGAGAAGGAGAGGGAGAGGTCATGAAAGAAAGCCCAAGTTATAACAAACAGATAAAACCTTGAAGCCTTGAGCTCCTCAGAGAGAGCTCCCTTCGCCTGCTGTTTTCGTGAATATAAAACAAACAAACAAAAAAACCGACAAACCACAACCACCCCTAAGGGCAATTCCATCAAGTGGATTTCAACCCATGGAGACTCCACAGGGCAGAGGAGAATATGTCTGACTAAAGATTTCCTTTGATAGAGTAAATCAAAGAGGTCTGTGTAGATCATAACAAACT